ATTTTTTGAAATTTTTTGGTGTCGAGGGTCTACGGGCTGGATTTTTTTTTCAGTTAAACTAATACTTACATCAGTTAGCAAAGATCATTTATTCCTCCTCTGGATCTCGAAATGGGGAAAGAGCGCATTCCTTTGTCCTCTTGAGGTCATTTTTTAATAGTACAAAAAATGACAAGATAAAATATCAACAAATCGGGACACTTTAGACATTGATGCAGACACATACAATTACCCATGTACTCCGACAGTGAATAAACCTTATCTTATAAGCCTTATCTATCGAATAAGTTTTTAATTTCTTTTTGAATTTTTTAATATTTTGTACCGATGTTAAATGATCTGAGAGACGATTAAATCTTTGTAGTCCGATGTAATTTGGAGATTTTTCGGTTACATTAAAATTTACTGATGAATACGAGTCATGTTCATGACGTGTATTATAACTGAATATCTAATTTAATACAAATGGACGCACATTGTTAAATACATAAATAAATACATAATTCATTGATATACAACGATATTAACGTCAAAATTCCGTATTTCCTAAAATGAGGTATAAATGATTCCATAGAAGATATTCCGGCGATAGACCTAATAATCCTTTTTTGTGCATTCCTACTCTATCCTGCCATTGCAAAGGGTTATCTGTAGATTTGCCTTTAATTTTCTGTCCAATCGACATTAGCAATTTTAAATTATCAGTTAGCCACGGAGCATAAGTTTTACGTATTACACAAGTTTTCAATGAAATATGCTTATTATATAGCATAGTTAGATTTTCATTAAAAACGCTAGTTTGTCGTCAATATTATCTATCTCAACCATATGAAAGAGAGGCAAATTATTTAAGTCCAACATCCATTGATTATAATCAATCGAATGGTACAGAAAAAAATTGTTTTAGTGTTTTTAAATCATTAAAATTAACGATTAAAATATTAAAATTGTTATAACTTTTTTATTAATAATAAAAAAAATATCTATTTTTCTGAAAAGATAGTTTATATAGGTATTTTAGAGTAGATTGAAAAGAAAAAAGAAAATTAATTCCATCATTTTGTTGCTGGTTATGACATTAAAATTTCTGAAATCATCCCTTAACTTGTAGCCCCTCTAACTCTTTTAATTTTAATAGTCAAAGAAAAAAGTCAATAGTCCATTTTTATGTAGAATTTTATGCTCTACTTATATAAGAAACTTTTTTTGTACTTCTTACTCTCTTCGAGTTATCTTGAAAAAATGAAATACTATTTAATTTTTTTCACTCCTCGCCAGATTGTCGCCACTTGTCGAGTCTAATGTATAGTTATTTATACTCGTAGTTAATGTGATGATAATTAATTATTAATATATATTTTCTTCGCATTTAATTTTAGTCAAAAAATATATAATACTTAAGTAGATATCTATTTATGTCTTATTTATTATTCTTTTTGGTGGAATGAAAGAGCGGCATTGCCGAATTCCTGCCTTTCGTGTTTTGTGCACAATAAAGATATATTTATTTATTTTATTTATTTATACCTATGTATCTATTCGAATAGTATGGGCCTTTAAATTTTTTATATAATTAGTTTGAGGTATACTATAACAAAATGTGACAGTAATTTTTTTTTCAACCTCCGGCTAGGGGTAAAAAAAGATAAAATAAAGGGGTTCTTCAGTATAACTCAAAAGGGGTAAGAGCTAGAAAAAAGTATTTTTTGAAGTTGTAAAGCATAAAATTCTACATAAAAATGGTCTATTAACTTGTTATCGTACTATCAAAATGGACAGAGTTTTACGGAGACTAGAAATTAAGGGACGATTTCAGAAATTTAAAAAAATCATAAGCAGGAAACTGGATGAATGTTATGTTTTTTTTTT